TTTTGCATATGTTGCTAGAAGTTTGTGCCAAGTTTTTCCTTAAGTTTTTCTTCGAGTTTTTCAATCACCGAGGTAATCAGTATCAGCCTGTTTGGTTAGATTTCAGCCCTGCACCCCTCTAAGGAAGAGTTGGATGCTGTGATGTTTTTGTATTATTAAGAAGATCCTTTTTTTAGTATAATTTGGTATACAAGGCCAGTATATTTTTTTTATAGTAAACTAAACTTTTATTAATTTGATTTTAAATAATCATTAGTGTGTTAAGAAATTAACTATTCTTAACATTTTACATTTACCCGGTTAAGTACTTGCCTTCAGCATTACTTTAACCTTTAATTTATAAAATTTAACGTTCTGTTATATTTTATATTTTTTTTAACACTTTAAGTATTTGCCTTCAGCATTGCTTAAATTTTACTTGTATTTGATTATTAAAATAACCATGTTATATTGATTGATTATTCGGATTTAACATCTATTTATGTTAACCTTTTATCTCATTACGATCTTTGACCTGTAAGGGCAATTTTGGGTACATATTTTAAACTTTTTCCCTTGACTATACAGGGTGTCCCAGAAATGAGTGCAAATATTTTAAGGGGTGGTAGATCTGGTCAAAAGAAACATATTTTCTCTTTACCATTTTTAAAATAAATTGAAAATAACCGAGTTATTTAACTTTGAAAGTTTTAAAAATAAATTGCGACATTTTGAGAGCCGCCGGGGGAAATCGGCAATTTCCCGGATCTCGCCTTGTTCGCCGCCCGCTGTTGCCGCAACTAGAAAGTCTTAAAAACTACTTGCAAAATTCCATAACATTAAGTGGATGATCGCCAGTAGCCATACTTCCCACATTTCCCAAATTAAATTAAAAGAAAAAAAACTTACCAAACATTAAAAAAGGATATCTCGATAGAAGATCGATATAATTGCAAAGCTTTCTTTTTTTCCATTTTACCAGTCTCAAAACTGCCCTTAACACTACACTTAACTTAACTACAATTCTTAACAACACTTGAACTTTGATGCCACCTGAGGATCCAACTTCCAAAATCCCTCAAATGCTGAACCATACTCACAGCTCACAGAGTTTACACTTGATAACGCTAAGTGACCTTTCTGACCGAAATGTTAGGTTAATCAAAATAAATAAAGACAATGGAAGTGCGAAATTCTTTTACTTTCAATATACTCACAAAGGTTCGAGCATTCGTGATCTGTCTATTCGAATACTCTTCGGAATAAAGCTTCATAGCTTCCGCAGCCCCTACACCTTCCAGGAGAAAGTATGCAAAATTCACACTTTAGGTAGAGTTTAGAAGCATATCCAACTTCTTCGGATTTGTATAGGCCATCGCCATTTTCCGATACCGATACCGATTACCAACACAAAAATATGCACTAACGAATATTTTAAACACAATCTCCGATAACTTTCTGGAGTTTTAAAAGCTCGATACTATTAGAACGATTTCTGATAGTCGAACGTGCTGATCATCTTATTTATTAACCAATAACCAAAATTAAACTCAAATCGATAACCCAGCGACATCTATAGAATAACGGATTAAGCTTTTTTTGTGATCGGACAATCGGCATTGTGGCGTGCTAGGCAAGTCGTATTATACGGGAGCGGTAGAGGGCCCTACTGCTCTTAACGGTATTCACGATTTTTCGGGGGTTCCCAAAATAACTATATGGATAACTTTCTGGAGTTTTAAAAGCTTGATACTATTAGAACGATTTCTGATAGTCGATTGTGCTGATCATTTTATTTACCAAAATTAAACTCAAATCAATTAACCAGCGACATCTATAGAATAACGGATTGAGTTTTTTGTGAACGGACAATCGGCACTGTGGCGCGCAAGGCAAGTCGTATTATACGGGAGCGGTAGAGGACCCTACTGCTCTTAACGGTATTTACGATGTCTCGGGGGTTCCCAAAATCATTTAAAGAATGTGAACAAACCAAAATCAACGTTATGTTGTACGTGTATTCGTGTATCGTGCGTGTATCGCGTAAAGTTTTGGCACTTTTGGTGTAAAATCATTAATTTTCTTTTGTGGGAGAGTTCAGTAGAGGTTTTAAGTAGTTATTAAAACAAATTTTTTTAACACTTTTTGTTGTATTTGTGAGTTTAGTGTTTAATTATTATGTGAAACATTTTAAATAATAATTTGCAAGTGATAGATTTGTGATGTTCAGATTATTAGATATGTGGGGTGTATGTGTAATGGTATTTGTTGGATAAAAATACTGATCAATTTTTATCAAAAGGGTAAGCTCTAACTTAATATTTAAAGATTGAAACGATTGAAAAAAATTCCTAATATGGCAAAAAAAGAACCTCTTATAATTTATTTTTTCAGCCTACTCAACTGTAAAAAGTACTTAAAACATTGCGCATTTTCCTAAAATTAGTATTAGCAATGTCCACTAATATGAATAAATTTAGTTTTCGTATTTTTCTATAGAAACTTATGGCGGGTTTATGCAACATAATCGTAATCATAATCACAATTTTAGTCACAATCATAAAAGTCATAACATTGCAGTCGTAATCATAAGCATAATTTAATAACCTTGAAGTCCGTAAATTTTAACTTTTTTGATTGTGATTACGACAAAAATCGGTTAGGGAGCATTATTTTTTTTTTTTTTTTTATGTTTAATAATTATGATAATTTTCGTGTTTAAAAACCTGAGTAATAAAATTTAAACAAAAATACACTTCTAAAATGATTATGAAATAGAAAAATAAGAAAATTAGGTTACTTTATCAGCTGTATTTACATTCCAAGTTATGCGACTATGTTGTATAAACGCATATTAAAATTTTGATTGTGACTGTGCTTATGCTTAATACAAAAATTATGATTATGATTACTACTATGTTGCAGCCCATTAAAATTATAACTGTGAATTTATAAACATTTAGAGTGTAGGTATGGTAGGAAGTGGCAACATTGCATTCTCTCCGAGATTCTCTCCATGCACGGTAAATAAATTTCGGGAGAGTGAACAGTGGCACTCAAAAGTTTTTCAAAATTTTCCGGAAAATGTCAAGAAAAATATAAAATTTTCAACATTTTTTTTTCGCAAAAAAACCCTCATAGGCGTGTTTCTGGGGTTGAACTATACTACCAGTTAAAATATTTGCACTCATTTCTGGGACACCCTGTATATTATAAACAAAAAGGTTCATGAATCTTCGAAATAAGTCAAATAAAACTTAAATATTTATTATTCAAATATAACCAAGACCGTCTCTAAATGTATTCATTTTATATTATAATTGTTTGAATAATATTTGAAAAGATATAATTTGATTTTAAGCAAGTTTTAAGATAGAGTTTCTTAAACATATTTCTTGTATATTAATGTACATAACTGCTGTGCCGAATAGGTACCGAATATTTCTAACAAGTAATAAATCTTATTTTTTTTGGGTATTTGGATTGTTTCATTGGTTGATCCGGTCTCTCAAAATATTTAATAGCTAATTTTAGTTTCTATTCAATTAATACACTTGTACAAATTTTCTTATTTCAGTTTGTACTATCCTTTGTAAGTATTAGCATCTTTTTGAAATAAGTGGCGCCCTTTGGTATGCAGTGTAAGATATAGGTGGGTATAATATTTTTAGTCAAGTGCAGAAGCAAAAGCTTGTTCCCACCGCCTCCGATATAAGAGTAGCCGTTCGCAATATTTTGACTTAAATTTTCAATAAAAGGAAAGTTTTTGTCACAAAGGAAGAGGCGCCCCACGTTGGGCGCCACTTTCAAAAATATGATACCCACCTATACCTTACACTGCATACCAAAGGGCGCCACTTATTTCAAAAAGATGCTAATACTTACAAAGGATAGTACAAACTGAAATAAGAAAATTTGTACAAGTGTATTAATTGAATAGAAACTAAAATTAGTATAGCTATTAAATATTTTGAGAAACTGAATCAACCAATGAAACAATTCAAATACCCCAAAAAAATAAGATTTATTACTTGTTAGAAATATTCGGTACCTATTCGGCACAGCAGTTATGTACATTAATATACAAGAATTATATTTAAGAAACTCTATCTTAAAACTTGTTTAAAATCAAATTATATCTTTTCAAATATTATTCAAACAATTATAATATAAAAGGAATACTTTTTAGAGACGATCTTGGTTATATTCGAATAATAAATATTTAAATTTGACTTGACTTATTACGAAGATTCATGAACCTTTTTGTTTATATATAGTTAAGGGCAAAAAGATTAAAATCTGTACCCAAGATTGCCCTTACAGGTCAAAGATCGTAATGATATAAAAGGTTAACATAAATAGATGTTGAATCTGAATAATCAATCAATATTCGGTGATTATTTTAATAATCATATACAAGTAAAATTTAAGCAATGCTGAAGGCAAATACTTAAGTGTTAAAAAAAATATATAAAATGTAACAGAATGTTAAATTTTATAAATTAAGGGTTAAAGTAATGCTGAAGGCAAGTACTTAACCGGTTAAATGTAAAATGTTAAGAATAGTTAATTTCTTAACACACTAATTGTAATATATCACATTAAATTATTAAGAATATAATAGTTAAGCATAGGCAACTTTTATTACTTGCTTCTTCATGGATTTAAATTTAAACAATACTATTTAAGGCAAGCGCAATAACGTTAGCTGTTTTGCACGCAGCTGGAAGTCGCTCTCTTCCATCTCCAACCGTCAAAGTGTTAACAGTATTTTCCATATCGATCTGATTCATCAATCTAACATTTATTAGTAAAATAAAATAAGTTTAAATAAATTCGTGTTTCCTTTCTCAACCATATCAAAAGACATTACACTAATGATTATTTAAAATCAAATTAATAAAAGTTGTTTACTATAAAAAAAATAAACTGGCTTTGTATACCAAATTATACTAAAAAAGGATCTTCTTAATGATAAAAAACATCACAGCATCCAACTTCTCCTCAGAAGGGTGCAGGGCTGAAATCTAACCGAACAGGCTGCTACTGATTACTTCGGTGACTGAACACGTAAGAAAAACTTGTGGAAAAACTTGGCATAAACTTCTAGAAAAATATGCAGAACAACTTGCAGAAAAATGTCTAGAAATACTTGAAGAAAAATACGTGGAAAAATGCTGAGAAAAATACGTAGAAAAATCTGTAGAAAAACCTAAAAAGAAACGCAGGGTATTAGTTAACCTTACATTTTAAAAAACTCGAAAAATTTACGAAGGTATTAATTTACCTCATTGTGAAGGCACACAATCAATAATTATTTAACATTTCTTCTCAAATAAGGGCTGGACACTTCTCATCAAAAAAACTGGAATCTAAAAGAAAGGCATGTGAAGGTTTTTTCTACCGAATGGAATGTCAAGGAAAATCTTACCAAAACTATAGATCCATTAAAATCTCAATAATCAAAAGCTATATGGGATCTCCATCCATCTATGGGACAACAAAATCACAATATTTTTCCCATATTGTGAAAAATACCAGCCAAATAAAATTTATTGAAAAATGGCACGGTGACCTTGGCAACGGCCAAATCCGATGTGACGATTTTGACTTTTGACCTTTCCCGTCTTGTTGATACACCAGGGTACGATCAGAGATATGGAAGTGGGAGAATGAGCTTCGACGAGTGCGCATCCAAATTTTTGTCGACGGCAAGATGGCAGACATCTTCCAGGTCTCGCTGTCACTTCCCCTCTTTAATTGACATCTGTTTGTTTTGTTTTTTTTTTCGTTTGTGTTGTTATCTAGTTAAAATTTATTATTATCTCAATTATTCTAAACACTAATTCAAAAAGGCAAAGGGAAAAATGATTAGTTTTCATGTGTAAGTTTATACAACATAATCATGTTTACAGATGATCCAAAACTGTTTATTTTTAGTTTTCCTAAAGGCGATTTGTAAAAATCGTGATTGTAATTGGGAATGGTCAAAAATAAGTGTATGATGTGGCCATTTAAAGAGGATGTTTTTATTACGTGTGGAGGAAGAAGATACTTGGAATCAATGTTCGTGCTTCTGTAAAACAGTGCACTCTTATAGTGTCCATGAAAGCACAAGTTCAAGTGTACCAGAAATATGTCAAATAAGATTGGTCCTTACTTGACAAGAAGATTATTTGGAGGAAAAGAAAACATAAGATAGGGTATTTTAATCGAACAGCGAAAATTTAACTTTTTTATTGTAAAGTTTGTTGTAGGTAGTTGTAGTTTTGTGCTAAATATTTCTAACATTAGCAGCAACAGTGTTCAGAGTGTCAAGAGGAGGAGAATTCAGTTAATTAGATTTATGCACAGTTACATGTATGAAGGCTTTTTCAAACATAGTATCGAGTTCTATAGTCAACATTTTTAGTATTCCTACAACTGTAAAAACAAGGAACATTGGACCGAAAAAATGGCAAGATTTATATAGGAAGAAAGGGTATTATGCCAATAAGAAAATTAAATCTGTAGGCAGAAGTTTCTTATTTAAAAACTGTTATGGGGCATATATTAATGTGTATCTGTGCCACAAATCACTGAGAAAAATCATATAATATTCATAATTGTTAACGAGATGATATTTAAAAAGTGTTAAAAATGAGACTATTAGTCATGAAGCTTACAATGTTACTTTGTTTCAATATTACACTTTTATTCTTGTAAAATCTATGATGAAGTTCAAAAGCATTTTGCAATGGCCTTAAATTGTGAGCCAGGATTTATAGCAAAGGTATTTGATGCAATGAAACTTAATCAGTACCTTCCAGTATGTATTTTAGTAAGGGGATTGTCAATCCCATGTTTTTAAATAGATAAAATACAGGCCAAAGTTGACAATATTACAGTTGAGAAGAAACTATTTTATCTTAAAAAAATTTTCTTAAAATTCTGAGATCATATAATCTAATTTTCTTAATAATAAATTAGGTATATGTATGTTGTACATACAGAATTTTGTTATGGACAAATAAGGATCGACAAGCTTCTTTTGTGCAAAAAAATAAATGATTTTTTCTAGTATTAAGACAAACCATAATGTGTTTTACAAACTTACCGGTAACAGTTTTTTTTATAATAAAATATTTAGGAATTATTTGGGTTGTTTATCAATATATTAATGACTTGAATTTTGACAAATTGAATTTGTATCAAGATAATTTTACGAAATATAAAATTGATGTTCTATTACAAGATTGAGTTTTTATTGTCTATGTATTATGAAAATATTTGTTAGAGGACATGTTATGTAACAATTTTTGTAACACAATTTGAAGGGACGAATAAAAAAAATAAAACAAAAACATATTTTTTCTAGGTTTATATTAAAAATACAAGGTAGGTAATCATCAAAAATAATTATGAACCAAATGTTTTTTATGAATATACAACTTGAACAAAAAGTTGTTTAGAACAATTTTTCCAAATTTGCAAAAATTTTAAATTGAAACGTGTAATTCAGTACAAGTAAACATGAAATATTGTAAATACTTATTTAAGATCATTTCGAGTGTTTAACGATGAAAAGGTCATCTGTCCGTAGCGTCTTTTGTCAGAATATTCGTATATTTAGTGTATTATATACCAATATTGTACGCAGTTTTGAAACTGATAATTAAATAAATCATATTAATGTTAACTAACCATAATAAATGATAGAATTTCACTAAATTTAAATTGCCCCCCGTATGGTTGAAAACAGCAAATTGATATTTGATTACTTATAGATTACCACCTATATACAAAATGACACGAAGACCTGGAATATGGCGCCCAACTTGATTAGACCTTCTGCGCATGTTGACGCTCATTCTCTATCCCTTCTATTTCTCTGGGTACGATCCAATATTTTCGATAGAGAGCGTTCCGAAATTTAAACGTTGTAGAAATGTAAAAAGAATATCGATACAATAATAAAATACCGTCTATAATAAAACAAAGTAGCATTTGGAAAATGAAAATGCTACAACATACATTGCAAATTAAATCAAAGCTTTTAAAAACATTTTTAAAAACAAGCTTGTATTTAAATGCTCTAAAAGAAGAAAATAAGTTTCTGTAACACTTTTACTATCAATTTATAATCTCATTACACAATTTATATGATATAAAAGCTTGTTGCTGACTTGTCCACTAGGGCACGGAACGAAACGTAATAAACAAAAATTTAAGGATAGATTGACCGTCAAAAATACTTGCGTTTCTTTAAAAAAAACACAAAATAACACAAATCACACTTGGGAGAACTATGAATTCAAATTCATAATAGAAAACTGGAAAATTTGAGGTTATGGTTCGCGGGTACGTTAAGGCACTTTCGGATGTCACACTAAAAACTCTAAGTTACTCCTGAGAACACTGGACCTGCCTTATTTTGTTCAACTGTTCCGAATAATTATTTATGGCTTGGAAGCTTCTATATATAAATATTTTAGGCAAATAAAGCAAAAAAATAACAGCCCAAGCTGAAACTTATCAAGTTAAAAAAATAATTCCTAATCTTAATGTGCGAATGATTACCAGGAATCGATTCGTTCTATTTTAAAAACGACAAGAGTGGCTGGTATGGGGTTTGAAGCAGGATAAGGCAGGATTATAGCAGCCAAAGCAGGAACTTGTTTCGGCCATCCTGCTTTTATTGTGTTGCTATGTGTGACATCACCAATCAGACTTAAACTTTATGTATCTTAAAAACGGCAAGTGTTGCTGGGATGAAATTTAGAGCAGGATGCAACAGGGGTATAGCAGCGCAAGCAGGAACCAGTTTTGGCGATCCTGCTTCTCATGTGTTGCCAACTGGGAAGTCAGCAACCAAAATAAAAGTAACTATACAAGTAACTACAAAATTGGTAGGTGTGGCTGGGTTGAGATTTGAAGCAGGATTGTAGAAGCCCAAGCAGGATCGTATTTTATAATTCCTGCTTTCAATGAGTTGCGAACTTCCCCGATCTCGTTATATTAGCTGTTGCGATTAAAGAGGTAGTACTGTATACCGTTCTAAATGTTGGGGCACAGCGAAGTGGGCAGGTATGAGTTAGTATTCTATGAAATCAACATACCCAGACATAAATATCATTTTGCAAAGTAGCAGATTGACAGAGCATCAGAAATATTCTTAAAGGTAAGTTCGCTTTATATGATCTGTGCGTCCATAATCGGTGTACACCTGCGGTTATTCCCAAGGCAGAAAGAAGCGCATAGACAGTATCTAAATAAACAATAAATTAAAGTATGTCACCAAAGAATATACCAAGAAAAAGAAAGTAAAGTGCCTTACTAAAAAATGGTTCCATGTTAGTGGTGCCATCTATTGAGAGGGTCTGAATTTAAATAAGCTTATTTATATATAATTTCACTAGAAACTATCATTTTAAATATGAAAACCATATTAAAAGTTATTCTTTACACAATATTAACAAATCTGATGTAAAACTTTACTATGTGTTGTGTAAAAAATAAAATTTAATAGTAAAAATTATACATGCAAAAAATCGAAGTCAAATATATGAACACCGTTTATTATAATAAAACAAGACCAACGTAATACACCCAAAGTTTTATAAATGGAGTAAATATAAATAGGCACTTAAATGATGGAACAAATAAAAGATGTACCTACATTATATTTAGGGCCTCAAATAAAAAGAATTGTCTGATTATGATATACCGGGTGCGTCTCAAAAGTGGCTCACCCCTATAACTTTTTTTATTTTTTTACATGAAAAAACGAGATTTGGTATGCTAGTATATGACATAAATTAGAATTGATTGACGTATTTAATTGTTTTCTGTCATTTCCTGTTTCACCATAAATGACTACAACTTTTGATTGTACCCTCGGTATTTTTTTTATTTTATTCTTTGAATAAGAAGACTAAGGAGGAGCATAACAAAAATCTTCGGTACATCGCGATGGGCCTCAAATATGGCCGACTTAAATTCCGGTTTATCAGTGTCGTTCTAATTTTATTTAAAAAATGTAAAACTATGATGTCGGGTAGACGTGGGGGTAGACTCAAAAATTTGTTGTTTTATTTTACGTTGTGAATAAATGTTGGTAGTTATTAAAATTGTTATAAAAATATATAATTCTAATAAAAATAGATAAGTTATAATAAGTATTTGTTAACACAAACATCCGATACGCTACTGAAGCAGGTAAGTCAAATTAACGTATCTAAATTCTTTGACATCTAATCTTTGACAAGTAATAAATAAAAGCTAAAATGCAAGAAAAATATATAATTTAGTTAATTTAAGTGAATTTCATAAATGATCGGTTTACTACACGTATGTATATTATATAGTCACTTACTAGCGAAAAGTTGGTCCATTATTTCACTCAATTTTTGCCGAGATCTACCGCACGCTAACAACCAACTATTTTAGAGTCTTTTTCGATAAATCGCGATAGTGTCACTGTTAATTTAAGTTCTGCCACAATTTCCATCTAGATTTACTACCTTTATACAACTATCAGTAGTAGAATAAATAATAAATAACATAAAATAAGCTCCGTAAAGACTGACAAATCCACAAAATATCAAATCAAATTCAAATGTGTCAAATGAATCGTCAAACAGAACTGTCAAGGATCCCCACCCTAGAGTGCTTTTATGGTGCTTTTTCCGCCCACCATGCATGAATACATGGATAGCATTATGCTCCTTCCTTAGTCTTCTTATTCAAAGCAGGGGCGGGAAAGTGAAATAGCAAAAGCGGTTCCACCGTTTCCACGGAAATTTCAAATAAAATAGTTCCAGCCTCAGGCGCTAGGTAGCGTAATTAATTTTTAGGTTAAGAAGTTGCTACTAGTTATTGCCAGATGGCGTTAAGTCAGAATTTTTTTGTAGTTTCCATAGTTTCCAACGGCCATTGTCAAATTCTCAAAAAATATTGTCGTTGTCATAGAGCCAATCATAATATTATCAAATGATTATTAAAGTGGCATTAAAAACTTAAAAAGCTGTGCTGTGAACTGTGAACTGCAATAACCATCGTGGATCGTGGCATAACGTCGGTTTCCAATGTCTCATAGGTATTTCATACATGCGTCCTTATATAAAATAAAGCTTGTATGCAACACACTGTATTTTATTTATAAAATTAAACGAAAATAATAATAAATTTGAATAAACAATATTTGGCGATATAATTCCGGAAAAAGCCGAACCTCTCCGAAACTTTCAAAAGTTTTGGGTCGCGACCGTTGCAAGAATAGCGCCAAATAGTGATTACATTATCCTTATGGGCACTTTCCAATCTAAACTTGTTTCATTCCTATGTCAAAACGTTTTTCAAACTATAATTTGTTATATGTGTTTTAATTAGACAATTCCTTTTGTTTGTGGCCCTAAAAATATAATGTAAGTCTTTTATTTTTGTCATTTAAGTACCTATTTATATTTACTCCATTTACAAAACTTTGGGCGTATTACGTTGGTCTTGTTTCATTATAATAAACGATGTTTAAATATTTGACTTATAAATAAAAACTTTTAATAATAAATAATATTTACACATGTTTGGCTTTAATTTTATTTAATAATTGTATAAATTATACTGTTAAATCTTATTTTTTACACACCACAACACACATACTTGTTATTAGTATTGTTGAATTTGTGTAAAAAATAAGATTTAATAATCAAATTTAATTATATATATTTTAGAGTAAAATTCAATAAATACGCTCTTTAAAAAGCCCGCGCTTCGATCCATTTAAAACAAGCCCTTGTCAATAGATGGCGCCACTTCTGTAGGACCATTTTTCAGTATAGCAGAGTCCATTCTTTTTCTAGCTAGGTATATTCTTTGATTCAAAAATTTTATCCGATAGAAAATGACACTCTGAATAGAATGACATATAATGTCAACTTTTGACATTCTCGCTTTAAAAAAAGCTGTATTTTAAATTTGAATCTAAAGTGCCATGGGTGTGTATAACACTAATTTTTATTCAAGGAGCCTTGGAAAAATAGATTTGATTATCTAATGTTTTTAGTGTCTTGTCCTGGCCGGTTAAAGGATGCGCAAATCGTATTTTTAATAATATCATAGTTTAAGGAAAAGAGTAGTTGCACTCTCGCAAATATTTTCTGCCAGTTTTTGCAAGCTGTCGAATGTCGGCAGCTTGCCAAGCGTTTCAGTTGAATTCCGTCCGTCGAGCTGCGAGGTTCGAGCGTTGCGTCCCAGCACAAAGACGGATTGACAAAAAATGAGTGCTTTATTGTGTGCTGCCATTAATTGTAGTGTAAAGGTGCGTATTCATTATCCGAACGAACGAATGAAAGTGCGGTATATTTAGACGGGGACCGAACGCATGCGGCCGTTCGTTCGTTCGTTCGCTCGGCCATCCGTTTCGAGTCGGTACATCAAAGGCGTTCGCCAACAAATGCCTCCGGTCTTCTCGTGCGGTCCTATCGTGCGGTCCCCGTCCATACCACTAGCGAACATTCGTTCGTTCGTTCGTGCGGATAATGAATACGCACCTTAATAATTCAAAAAATTGTTCTTTGAGTTTTTTTAGATTTCCATCGAATGTAAATCGGAAAGCTGATAGTAATTATCAATAAACATTTAATTATATTTGTTTATTTTAGAAGCGGAAATATTATGTAATTAATTAAATGTTAATATTTTTTTAGCATGTGGGTAAATCTTAGAAATAGTTTTTTAGATATACAGGTTGTCTCAAATATGCGCATGAAAATATTCTTTGGTCAGGGGATTTGCCATAAAATTTTCATTCCAATAATAATTTACGAGATAATTTATATAGATTGGTTTTTGAAACAATTTTACAGTAAATACTTTGTACATCTAAAGTCTCCGCAAATTATTCATATTTTTTAAATGAAAGAATTTTATAATAGCATAATCTATTATAAATTTAGTGGACTGTATGTTTTTTTTTAATTTTATTTATTTTTTATTATAAGTGGTCGTAATATAACAATATTCAAAATATTATAGACAAAATATTGAGTTTATATTTGAGGGAAGAAAAGTGCCACACCTAGCTTTAAACCACCGTAAATATACAGGGTGGCCCATTATTGCGAGGTCCAATATCGTCGTTCTTGTCGAAGTTGTGAAAAAAGTTTTATTCATATGTTTCAAGGTTTATAAAGGGTCGTATCCTAAAATATTTTGTTATACAGGGTTGTTCACCACATACGACACGGAGTATTGTAGCTAAACGATTATATTTTTACAAATTTCAAGTTTTGAGTTCGATGAAGGACTATTAGAGGTACAATTTAAAAATAATTTTACAAGATACAGAGTGTCCCAAATAACTAAAAAATATCAAAGTTGTATTTTTTTAAACGGAACACCCTGTATATTATTACATTTTTAGTTTCTACGATTAAAATAAAGGTAAATTTGAATAAGGTTTATTATACTTAAACCTTACCGTTTTTGAAATATTTTTAATTTTGTGAAATTGCAGTAAAAATTTTAAGGCTTCATTTCTCCAATGGTATCAAAGTTTTTAATACTAAATATTTACTGAAGTTTATTTATTGATCAGTTATTGTGTTGCAATAATAAAAATAATACTACCTTATACAGAGTGTCTAAAAATTTATTTTAAATAATTTCTAGCTTTAAACGCCAATAACTTCTTTAATTTAAATGGAACGCCCTATATATTTTAGAAGAATCAGATGCACAATTTAATTGTCTATCAAAATGTATTATACCATTTTTACCTATCCCTTCAAGTTTTCGTATATACCCATGGAATATTGACATTTTATTATTGACACCCATGGAATATTGACATCAAATATTGACATTCTAGTAATATTTTCGTTTTGCTAAAAACGATAATGTATGCTAAAAGTATTTAAATCTTTATAAAAGAGTATACCATTAATTAAATATAACACCATTATTTCCGCCCATATACTAATTAATTACATACTTAATTGTATTCGTTAATAAATTATTCTAAATAAATGTGGATTTGAGTCAGAAATGAATATAATAATAAGTTATCAAAATTAAAGTCTCTGTTATTATAAATAAGCATTTATTAAAAAATGAAATATCATTTTTAAGGTGTTACTTTTTATCACACTGTCTAATACCCATACAAAAATCAGTTTTTTAGTATTTGGAGCAATTATTATTAATCAACGCAGTCAGTTAATGTAGTTTGAATACTGAAATCATATTAATTGGTCCTCTTTAACAAAT